AAATTCGCAGAATGTACAGTACTTACTATTGCCCACCGATTACATACTGTAATGGATTCGGATAAGGTTAGTATAACATAGTTGTCCATCATTGAATCTGGTAAAATATCAATTAATATTAAAACAAATTAATTTAATCTTTTTGAAAGCCATTTTGAATCTTATATTTTTTTTTTACCTTTTATTCAGAACATAAATATATAAGAAGAATGAGCATATGAAACCTAAAGTTTTTATTTATGTATTATCATCAATTATTTTTATAAATTACTGTACACAGTACGAGGTAAGGGGAAAGTTTAAAACAAGGACAAAATTTAATTATTAAAATTTTGAACGCAAGTCTGCGTTTCTTATGTTAAATACACATCAGCAGTGTCAAAGGAAGCCGAAGAAACGAATTTAAGTCTTGATTTTGCATAAAAACGTAATTACGCCTCCACATACCACATACGCTTACTTCTTACGCACTTAGGTTGTTCAATACTGCCCCTTCCCCTACTTAGTTTTTGAATAGGCTTCGTTCGTTAGCTGTTACACCCGCCAGTTGCTTAATTTAACAAATTTTATTCTTAATAAAAATGCTTAATAAATCTGCTTTGTCCCTGGCACTCTGAGATGGGACTCGAACCCATGACTTTTCGCAATCCGGACGACGGCTTTAAATCAGTCGCCCGTATTGAGCTAGGGGCGAGTGGATTTTTAAAGCATTTCCTTTTTAACAAATTTTGTATCATATAATTATTAACAAATTTTGATTGACTTAAATGATCAAATGCACAGGTGTTAGTGATGGACGCTGGCCAGATGGTGGAATTTGCGTCTCCTCATGAGTTGATACAACGCGAGGGCGGCATATTACGCGGCATGGTCGAACAGACCGGACGTACTATGGCAGATACACTCGCGCGTATCGCGCTACAGGTCAGTCAAATTATTAGGTTAGATTCGGAAGTGAAAAATAAATTATCTTATATATTATCAAAATAACATTTCGGTCTGCGACGGGGAAGTTTTTAAATGCTTCGCAAGGGCCGATGATTGGATGGCTGATTAAATCAATTATCTTACGCTCCTCCGTGCTTCGGAAAGCATTTTAAACTCTTGGTCCCAGCTGCATCTGCAATCTTTAAAACCCACCAATTGGCATTGGGCCCCCACAGAGTCCGATCAACGATTTTAGTTATGGCCTATTCTCCTTACTCGATTCCATCCATAGGAAAGGTCTGTGCCCCAGCAGTGGACACGTTCATAGGCTGATGATGAAATACTGACCGTTCTGATTTTGAGTCCAATGATTATCTTAATAAATTAAAAGTAGGAGTCGCCAATTATAAAGTGCAAGAAATTCCTACGGAATCATTTCATTGGTCGCTAAAATATTGAAAACCACTGACCGGGCAATGATAATGAGTCACGAGAAGCGCCCGGATTCCGCATGTCTTATTAATTAGCTATAAGACTGAATACTACAATGACGTAGCCTGCTTAACTGCACTATTGGATTAAAGAAGAAACGATATTTTATAATAAATTAATATAATTTAAGCTCTCATCAATTAATCGTAACTTTTTTATTTCAGGCGTACGAAAAAAGGCGTCTACCTGAAACGGAATCCACCCAATCATAAGACTAGTTTATAATGATGTAATTTTAAATGTTCCTACTGCCGCAATTTTTACATATAGCAGCGGATTAAGCAATACGATAGGAAACTTTATAATCTCCTAACTAGGTTCATTTTTGCTACATATTTTTAGCATTTGAACTGTGGATCAGATCTTAAAACATTTCCACTATTTTGTATGAGCATGATCATGGGTAGTCTAATTGTTTTTTTTTTGTGTACTTACCGTTTGTGTATGACGTATTTAGTCAACACACGAGCAAAACATTTATATTCGATGGTCGCAAATGTAAATTTTATAGATTTGTGGCAGCAGCGATGTTCAGCTCTTTTTTACTTACAAAATGTACTTACTGTAGGTGAATATTTAAAAACGTGTGCTCAAGTACATATTAAATAGGTTTCGTATTAGACAATTGTTGTCTCAGTTTAATAGATCTGAATTGAATTCTCTTGTAATGCTAAACCAAATCGTGTGTCATGGTGTTTAAATCCGTTTTTCTACGCTACCACCGTGCAAAACTGACATGATGTAATAATATTCAAAATAGACGTTAATGTGTTATTAAGACGAAGTTTTTTTTGTAATCTAATCGGAAGATATTCTCAAATTTACTCAATTTTGTCTGGTGTAAATTTATGAAGTAAAATTACATACATAGAAGTATCCAGCCCAAATAATTTTATCGTAATTTAATATTGTACTATTATTACAGTATGATAATACTTTACAGTAGTACACAGGGTATTTAAGTATAATATACAGCGTCATTAACCCACGGAATGACAAAATAACGCAATAGGTCTTGAACGTTACTGCCAATGTATTAAGGTTCAAAATCAATCAAGAAAATTTGACAGTTTTGGACAACTTGATATGCAACTTGTAGTGTCGTTAGTAATACTATGCTTAGTTGATGCCGGTGGGATGCAATCAAGGACGCCGGAGGGGGGCAGGGGTCACATAACCGTGGTCAAGTTATAAGAAGTAAATTTTAGATAGGTACAACTTTAAATTAGCAGTCCACCTAGGTCCTGGACAAAACCCAGGGGGAGGACCCCAGTGACCCCTCCTGGATCCGCCATTGGATGCGATCGTGACACTGATTAGTCAACGTATGTAACCGTTATATTGTTAAATTTTCATCGTTAATGCAAATAGTTGATGTTATGGGTGTATAACGCAAAATTGTAAGTATTAAAATTGTGAAAGATAATTTATAGCAACAATATACTTTGTAGTATTTTTTGTTAAATTATACATTAAATCCGTAGTAGTTCAAATATTTAGAAACAGAAATGTGAATCGATAATAATTATATAATACGTAATGTCACAATAATTTGTCAATGTATTAGTTAATTTAATACACTTTAGTATAATAAAAGGTAAAATGTCTCGAATAAATGATTAATGTGAATTTTTACAAATGACAAGTGAGATTTTTATATAATTTTTACTTGATAATCTTGATAATTTTATAATTAATTCGCATAAATATTATGATGCAATAAAATTAAAATTCGAATTGTCAAATTTAAATTGAACGAAAATCTAATGTTATTGTTGTCTATCTAAATTATTTCATATGTGTTAAATTGAAATGACTGAAAGATAAATAAATAAAAACGGTGCTAGTTACTACAAAATAATTTTGTACGAACTGTGGCCTTAATGCGTACTTATATAAAAAAAAAATCATTATCGAAACTTAAAAGCGGTATACTTATTTGCATCTGTTAGTAGGTTTTTCCAATTATATTATTAAATTTAGCGAATATTTTTATTCAATAATAATACCATTATTTTTTAGTATGAATGTGATATTTTTTTAAAAAGTGTATGTAATGTGTTACTTGATGAAACTCAATTATATTAGTGCTAAGAATCTGTTTTTGTTGGTTATCACAACAAGGAATATAGTTCTGTGTCAAAAGATATTGTTTTATTTTTAGATTATAATACCAATAAAACCAATACACTTACTCATTTTAGAAGTTGCTTCTAAATTTGCAGAGGCAAACAAAATAATACCACGGACTTTTTTCGAGAGTTTATTTTTTCTTTTATATGCATTTCACAATCACTTTACATATTTTAACGTTTACAATTAAAAAAAACATTTTCAAAGGAATGTAAGGAGTAAATTTTAATGCTACAAAAATACATAGTCTATAATCCTGCTTAGTTCATTGGATTACCTAACTAGACACAATTGTGTATCAGAGACTTATATTTATATTTACATCAAATACTGAATTAACATTATCATTAGGAAGTATTAAAAATAGATTCAAAGCCTGCCAGTGCAAAATATAATTAAAGATAAAATCAGTGGTCAAACGTATACAAACTTGAATTTGTTATTAAAAAAAAAGAACTATTTTACGAGCTGAATTATAAAGAAAAATATATTTTCACTGGAGCTGGAACTCTCCTTTTTAGCATTCGAAGATGATCGCATCATAATACTTTACATACACCATATCACAGACCCTTTTTAGTTGATCACTTCGCTCTTCACAAGTAATTTCAATTTAATAAAAACTATATCTTATTGGATGTTATAGCGTCGCCAACGTTCCCATGGTAACCTTATCGTACGGGGGACTTCTTAGGCGGTCTTTAGGCGATCATGCATGCGTGACAGCACGTAATGAATATCATGACACACGATCGTCTATAGACCGCTTAAGTCGAGTGGAGTTGTAGAGGGTATAATGCGCGGCATTTAAGTTGAAGTACAATGGCGATTACCCAGTACCACGTTTCCACATACAATTTACGTATCGTTCAAATTACATGCCACGCATTATAAAAGGATTTTATAAAAATGCTCCAGACTCCAGTTCGTGATCTTCGGTTAGATATGTTGAGATACAATTAAAACATTTTGGCGCTATGGCATCTTAATGAGATATAGTCTAAGGGTTTCAGAACATTACAACGCGCCTAATTATCAGTCTACATAACATAATACTCAATCATAAAATAATTTTCGAATACATTTTTAAATCAATAATTTCCATGCTGCTCTATGTACATTTTCAAAATCTTACCATCAAGCACATACTTAAAACCAAACAAGCCGAAAATGCAAATTTCAAGACATAAATAATATAAATAATACAAAAGTACAAGACGTAACCTAAAAAATACATTGTCATGATAATAATTCGTTACTTCCCTTTGGCACTATAAAGAGAAACGGTTAAAAGTGAATCGAAACTTAAAGATTCTGAGATCTTTAGAAAACTGTATTCATTTTTTTATTTAAGGTATTAAATTTTTATTTTTGTATCTACGTCCTCTAACTACAGTACTGTAATGTGATATAATGTTTTTTTTATTTTATTTATTTATTTTATTATTATAACAGAACTTAACTATTCACAGTCTTGATGCGTTGGCAGTCTTCGCCCGGTTAGTGTTATACACTAACCTATTACTAATTTATACAGGACGCGGGCTGCCCGATAACATGCGCTTACACTAATGCCGTTAAGCTGCCAGAGCGAGAATTCTTGTTGTCCGTAGTCTCGGATTTTACCTGTAATAATGCTATTAAATTGAGTAAACATATATAGTGTTATTAATAAATAAGATTTAGCTTTGGAGTAAATTTACGCTGAGACTTTACTTAGTATTAGTCAAAAATCATGGCATTAAACAGAGACTAAGCAAAGGTTAATCTTGTACGAGGTTCTACTGGAGTAATATTAATTCCTAGAAGGTAGTAGGTTTGCTTATTCTCTGTATATTATGAATTTGAACTAATACTAAAATTGCAATTTAAGCGTAAATTTACTCTGACGCTGACGATTTTAGATTACTGTACTAGCGATGTGTGTGTATGTGAGTGTGTGGGTGTGTGTGTGTGTCATCTGACGTTTTTATCCCTGCGTTAAAAAAGTTTCCGATATCTGTCTGTTACCTCTTATTTCAACCTTGTGTTATAATTGTGTATGTGGTTTTTGCTTTTATTACCGATACAGAAACTTACTATTGCGCCCTTACAAAGCCTGTGCGAATGAATTATATTATGATGATTTTGGCGCTCCCTAACGGCGCCCGGGGCAGGTGCACCCACTTGCCCCTTCCCCAGCCCCTAGAACCAGACCTGGGTACTTGTTGTGTTTGCCCCTGCGTTAACTAAAAAGATTTTCGATGTTTGTGTGTGTGTCTGTGTGTGTGTGTACGCGTGTGTGTGTGTATGCGTGTGCGTATGTTACCTGTTGCGCGCGCGGTGGCAGTGGCAGGTGCAGCCGGAGCTGCGTCCAGAACGCGCGGTCGTGCACGTGCCGCCACGCCACCAGCCGCGAGCGGCGCAGCAGCGAGCACGCGCGCTCGCCCACCTCTTTGGCTTCACGCTTCAGATTGGGCAAGTCCTGTTTACAATAGTTACAGTAATAAAATAATGATACCAAAAGATATATATTAATACGAGCGAGCCGAAGCATCGTTTTTGTAGTAGCCTACTTTACTCATAATAGGGGCTAATAGCCTACTTTACTCATCATCCATAGATGATGATCCTTTTTTGTTTGTTTGTCGTCAGACAGATTATTGAAATATAGTTAACACTTTTTTCTTGATTTTTTTTACGCAAAGAATAAACCAATAAATAATATCGTCTGCGAGTGCAGGTGTAACGTTGTCTGTTCGTTTAAGAATAAAACATAGACCTATAAATGTATAGACATTACAATTTTTTTTTTAATATTCATCGATGATTAAACTTGTAGATCAATGGTTTTTTTTATAATGTTTTAAAAATAATCTTGTATAATATTCTTGATATTTTCAAAATTTTCATAATATCCATCACAGCTTTAGACAACATAATTAACGGACAATCATCATCATCAGCCCTTTATATCCCCACTACAGGGGCTCAGGCTTTCCTTATGGATGGTTAGGGAGGATGGACCATGATACAACGCTGGCCCAATGCGGATTGGAGGGTATAATTGACGACACATGCAACCGGGACAAACGACTGTACGTGCCTTCCAAAGCAGTAGCACGTGATAATCATTCTTTGGTCACCCATCCCGTGACCGACCCTTGTGAAAGTTGCTACACAACAACGATCGCGAACCGAGGCGCTTATCACTACGTCACCGATCTATTCAGTCAATAATAAGTAATAGTCAATCAACTGACTATATTTGGCCCTTCAAATTCAAACGTACAACAGTTGTATATGGTACGCTGAGAACGATAGTGACACAATGCAAAAAATACGATTTGCAGTAATGAGCGTTTAAAGTTCAAGAAATTGTAATCAGCCCCTCTAAACAACGTATCGTCACTACGCCATCAAGCAGATTCCATGCAAACTACGTTCACAGGGATCTTTGCATTTTAAAGTTTATACTTAACAAAGAAAAATGTTGCCAAAAGTAAAAAATACGTCGTTTTTTTGTCATTTCCAACGTACGAATGGTTACCTGCAGTAGTACAACGACGGGTGGTTGGGGTAACGCGGCCAGTTGTCTGAATGCAACGAGCAGATGTTGCGGTGTATACTGAGCGGGCGACATCACCACTAACACGGAACGACACCGGGCCGTTTCAGACATTATCTCCGTATACCCTGAACAAGGATAATTTTTTTATAAAAAAAAAATCATCACCATACCTGCAAAGCTTTACAGATTTCATAATAGAAATTAAGTATTGAAGTTATAAAATATTTGTTTAATCATAGTATGCGGAGGCATAATTTATTATAATTATATGTATCGTTTTTATTTTACTCGATTTGGTCTGTTTTACTTTCTTTGATGGCTCAATTGAACATTTAAATAATTCTCACTTAATTTCTAGTTACTTGGAAGTGTACTGTTTCTTCGCACGACCCAAATCCAGTAAATCACACGAGTCGAGAACCATAACATCATTATCTTGTCGTTACATGGCGAATACTAGAACAGAAGGTAATAACCTTGCATTTTGTACACCCAATTTTAAAATAAAATAATTTTTCTAACAGTGCAAACATAAAAAATAAAATCCCCAAGAAAGGGCTATGAGCCATTCACGCAGACTAATACAGCTTGATTGGCATCGTTGATTAAACTTATCTATACTGTCTCAGGTATTGTGGTGCAATCGAGATACTCCATAATTTAGGCTTTAGCTACTCATCTAAGGAACTGAGCAATGTATGTAATGTTATCTATATAATAATAATAAATATAAATTTATTTTATTTACAACAAGGTTTTGTTCATTCATTGAAAAAAAATAAATCTTAGACTGGGTTCGTAATTTTGACATATCTTTTCATTTATATACACTCTAAAGAAAAAGTGTAAGTGTAATTGCAATTAGAATGCTAGATTAAGTGTAACTGCAAATCAAGTGTAAATGCAAGTGCAATTACAATTACAAGTGCGATTACAAGTGTGGGTGCAATGCCAGTGTTAATGTAACTCACAGTGGTCAGGTTGCGTGGAGAGTTGGGTCGCGTGGACTCGGTACTTGTATTTGAGCGTGAGCGTCGGCAGTAATGCGCCCCTCACTAGCTCCGCGTCCACTGGAGTCCAGCACACGAGCACATCGAATTCCTTCTCGAGCACTATAAAATAACCATACGTTATAACAAAACAACATTGTTAACTTTAATATAATAAATTGGTTGCTAAATTCATCATAAACTATAGGTGCAGTGGGATTTTCTTGTCATAATGCCAGATCAGAAATTATTTCCAAAGGGCTTCATTAGTCTTAATTAGTCTATCAAATGTACGTTACTTATATGTACCATTCCAATAATGTCCAATTTTGACCTAAAATTTAATAATGCGTCTAGTGATGTGATATATATCTAATTTAGCTTATTTTATTACTTATCAGAAAATTAAATATTAAAATAAATTCAGGATAAAAATTGCATGAGCTTATTTATTACTTATTTATTTCATGTCAGAAAAATAAATATTAAAATAAAGTCAGAATAAAAATTGCGCGGCTGAGAATTATTATTAATAATATCTACCCGAATACCATTCGGACCCTAAAGATACTGTTTGATACACTACATAGGGTTTTTTTATATAAATAATTCTAAAAACAACATGTAATTTATATTAAAAATAGTGATATTAATTATGTTTAAATAAGTTAAGTTTATTGTATAGTTGTCTCTTGGACAAATTTTTACTCTCAGCCGTTTCTTATTTTGCATATGTAGTGCAATCTTACGTCAACAAAACATTCAATCATTAAATTAATTCTGTTTTATAGTTTAATTCGTCACTTTCAGTCTTTCAGTTGTCTCAGTTTAGATCTAGGTGTGCGATATAAAACACCCAGACCGATATAAGCCTACATGTTTATGCACACGGATTTGTAATCGAGAACACGAACCACTGAGATGGTTTTAATTCGTGTACAAAATTTCGGTAAAAAAATGTAATAGTACATTATTCCATGTATATGCTGTCTTAGAACATCGTATATCATAATCATATCTGTTAAAAATCAGTTATTTTGTTGAAAATTTATAAACAACTATAAGCTGTATTACGTTGAAATAGAGTTTAAAGTCGATAAAGTTGTTATGTTTATGTTACCTCTCGCTCGGTGTGCAGCAGTAGAGGTTCTAGCGCGCGCTTGTCTAAGCGCTAGTAGCAAGCGCGGTGTACAACGTTTATGCAACATCAGTAGCGAGGCAATAAACAACGCTCCAGCGACAGTGCCCAGAACCAAAGCCTTCCACGGTACATCACTATCGCCAGACCAGTCTAACATCGACGTACCACCATCTGATTAAGAATAATAATTATATCACATCTGTATGAGTGAATAAAAAAGGAATTTAGTCCGTCAGTCAGATAATAGAAAAAATATTAGATACGTATTTTATGATACTTCAATTTAACATCTTAGATAATAGGCAGTGACGTTGAGGAGTGGGGCTTGCCACGTCACAACTATGTAGAAAATGTAGAAAGGCGTGGCGTCGTGCGACTTTTCAACCAACCATCTATAAGGAAGGACTGAGCCCCTGCAGTGGGGACGTAAAAAGGCTGATAATGATGTGGCGTCATGCGATTTTTCAACTCAATGTATATGCCATATTTTTTTGAGTAGGCAAAAATATACGGTATTTAATATTCTTCAATAATCTATCTGACGGACAGACAGACAAAATTAGTCATCATCCCTAATACAGTACCATTTTACCGGTAGCACCTGCAAACTTTATCTGCGTAGAAGAAATAAAGCTGGTGCTGACGGAATACGACTAACGATATTGGGTCATCCATAAATTAAGTCGCACATTAAGGGGAACGTGAATTATAATAAATTTTGTAACGTCACATTTAACGAAAAATTTTTAATTAAATGGAAATGAATCTAATTGCCGAAGTGTTGTATTAATAATTTTCTATTTAGTAAAACTGTAAAATATGTACAATGTACATTTTTGTACATATATCTTTAAGGAAAAAATACTTAAAAAATTCCCCAGTTCCAGGCATCGCCAAATTAGACTTTAATCCACAATCTTTGACAATCCAGGTGACTGCTCTAACCATTAAACTACCTGACATCCAACCGCACCTACCGGAATTCTCTAAAAGTTATTACTTTCGGTACTAGTAAAATAGAAGAACCCATCAACGTTTAGGCAATCTATTATCTAAGCATTTGTGTACTATATCGATTATTGTCGACATTTGACTTATTGTATTAAAATTTCTCTAAATGACACTTACATTTGTAATGCACAGTGACGTAACTCCTTGAGACTAAATCGTTGCTGTGTACGACGCACGCGTACGTGCCATAGTCGCGAGCGGCCACGCGCCCGAAGTCGAGATACGAACCAATTATATCCTCGACGTCGTCTCTGTAAAAGAAAAAACATATATGACGTCATTGGAGCAAAGCTCGTTGTCCAAATAGTGATATTATTGCATCTGCAAAATACAAAATGTAGAAAAATGTAAAGATTCTTAAGTAGGGTTGCCAGATGGTCGGGATTGTCCCAAGTTTTCGGAGGATGTCCAAAGTCCCGAAAAGGACGGAAATGTCCCATGTGAAGTCAAATGTTAAATAATTGATAAAACATTAAATCAATCAATCGCTCGGTAACGTATGACCTAGAAATAAGTTTATTGTCTTTGTTTGTTAATTATCAATATTTTTCCGAGGCGAAGGATGGATGTATCGATTATTGTCCTGAGATTACTCAATGTTATGAAATTTTCGAATTTATGAAATTTTGCTCTCCCCATCTAGCAACCCTATTATTTCCTAAGTGTCGCCATCTAGTTCTCCAGATCATTTCCTGATCGCATCGACGTAGAAAACTTTTCTGGAAAGTCCCGGGTCTGACACTCGTGATAACTTTAGTAAATATTTATAATATATAGACTTGAATTTCAATGAAGTAAGAACGTCAATAGTTAATTATAATAGTATTCTAACTCTTCAGAGTTCTTAGTTCATTTAAATTTTTGTGTATTTGTTAAAAGTATTTATTTTCTCAAGTAAGTACTTCTCTCGACTATACATACGAGTGTGAGTGTTCTTGTACCTTCGTTGTTTCAGATTAGAACACAGACTAGTTCCTTAGTTTTGAGTCTGAGCAATGTACGTGATCTTGTCTAATGCTATTTATATGCAAAAGACTTAATAATAATTTGCTAAACGATAATAATAATTTAAAAGCGTCGCAGTGTAATTTAAAACAAAAAACACTAATACCGCAAACTTCCTTTTTTTGGTTACTGTAGTTTTTTAGTATATCATAGACGGACCCGGTATCTCGATAAAGTTTAAATATTATTACTCGCTGATAGGCCTGTTCGGTATGAAACTACATATCTATTTTCTTTAATTCTTTCACAATACAAAAAAGAAAATCAACAATTAACAGAAAATAAATACGAACTAACCTTTTTGTCTTAATTTCCGTTTGGGTTATCAGTAAATCACCTTCCGTTCCATTCGGCCACACCTTCATCCACCGCAAATCACTCCGTGCGTCCGCCAAGTACGACCTGCCTGTGTAAACGAGAAATAAACACTTAAAATGGATTAGCGCGGCGGGCCGTGGTCGTTATTGTTAAGCAACTTTTGCAAGGATCGATCACGGGATGGGTGACCAAAAAATTATTATATCGAGCTGCTCCGTGCTTCCGAAGACACGTTAAGCCCTCCACCAATCCACATTGGATCAGAGTGGAGGTTCATGGCCCATCCACATTAACTATCCATAAATAAGGCCTGAATCCCTGCAGTAGAGACGTAAAAGGGCTGATGATGATGATAATGGTACAAGAATATAATCATCTTAATTATATTTTAAAAACATCAATATTTGTAAAAAAATACAAATAAAATGTGGTGTCCTATATTCTAAAGTCAGCTTTACAAGTTACAAGGTAAACAATGTTTAGTTATAATCAAAATATTGGATTTATTCAGGAGTATGATAAAATTAATTTGTAATTTTATCATACTCCTGCCTTACCATGAGAAATAGAAAGGTAGACTAGATTTATTATTTATTAATATCTACCTATGAGAGCCTCGCAGTACAGCCGTAAATCCATACCCTCCTCTACCCACTGGTCTTTTGATATGAACATAGTTTTCGGTTCATCCGAGGGCTTTTCTGTGGAAAAACAATATAAATATACATATATATTTACTTTTAACTGCTAGCGATGTTTCTATGAAAAGCGTGAGAATTAAAACAATAGATTTTCGTTGCGTGTTCGGCAATTAAGGTTTTCGTGGAAATTCAAAGTTACCACAAACCAATATCTTATATAAAACATCAAATGGAAATTTGCTATGTAATTCATATAAAAGAAGTGCTAGGGAGATTTTTTTAAAATATTTACTTAACAGTGTTTTATTATTGGACTCGTCATATCCGTACATTATTGCGTTTTAAAACAGCGTAATTTTTATTGTCGCAGCGTAACATTATAATACAACCACAAAGGGCGCGAAGAAATCATTTTTTTTTTATCTCCCTATCAGAATCTTCAGCACAACTCTTGTTAGAACGAGATAAATAAATTTGCTTAGCTTTGTTCAACTTTTTTTTTATTTGTTTACAATGGGCTCATCCTTGATCTCAATCTCAACAGTTGCATCTTCATAGAATCATGGACATAGTACTATATAACAGGACAGAGTACTCCCAGCTGAAAAAAGCGAGCCGAGCGAGATATCAAATACAAAGGCTTTTTGTCCTTTTCTAATAGGGTGACAGTAACATTTTAATTAAGTGAGATTTTTCATATGGTTCAGTTTTTAAGTAGCTATTATCGTACATAATAATCTTGTTAAACTTTTTGTTACAATAAACATATTTTTATTATTTATTTTAGATACTTATAGGCTTTAAGTGCAATTCGACATCGATGAGCGATATCGCATAATCGCGCGCCCTTATAATGAATATGGAGAAACGCCAAAACATTTCTGTTATGTCTAAGCAAGGTGCAGCCACTAATTGCTGAAAATCACATCTCCTTTAAAGGCCCCTATAGCAAAAGCAAAAATAGTCATATATTTGTACATCCAGTATATTACATTAATCTGTGATATTACCTTGTATCTCAAGCCGAACGGTATGTGTTTCGCTGTGCGTCTCGTTGCTCATTCTGCAAGTGTAATTTCCAGAGTCTGCTCGGGCAGCACGTTGACTATACAGCGTTTGGTTGGCGGCCTCAGGGTACAGGATAAAGCTGGACACACCAGCGGACCACGGGTACGCCACCCCATCTTTGAACCTAAAAATAATAAAATAACTTAATTAATATCGGGGCGATGATCGTCATTCGAATTTTAAAATTACGTATCAGCTGTAGCAAGTCGGTGGTTCGAGATTTATGTGTTAACAACTTTCGTAAAGGTCGATCCGTGAGCTACTCCGTGCGTCGGAAGGTACGTTAAGTCTTTGAACTCTGCTGCATTTTGCTGTCGTTAATCCACCCTACAATCCGCATTGATCTAGCGTGGAGTCAAAGGCCATCCTCCTTAACCATCTATAAGGAAGGCCTGAGCTCCTGCAGTGGGGACGTAAAAGGACTGATGATGATGAATAATAGCTTTCCGCCAGCGGGTACACCCGCGTAATTAATTTCTTTTAGTAGAATATAAAGTATATTAATTCAGGATTACAATTAATCTAATATCAAACATTAAAATCGGTTCAGCAGTTTTTGAGTGAAAGCATTTAGTTTTTGCATTTATAATATTAATGGGATAGGAGGATGATTTCGATGAATTAAATCCTAGGATGCAGACTATATTTGATAGATTGAAAGTGGTCTTGTAGATTAAAACGATGGCTCAGAAAATAAATGTACATTATCAGCCTATGTTGCTAATGTACATTTATAATCTATATTATCATTAAATCCCTGAGGAGTTAGTGTTTATGATCCAATCTTCTCAGGGATTTGAAGTGTCGAAGGGAGAAAAAGAATTCTTAGTATATAAACATATGAAGTCATTTATGTGCAGGGTGTAAAGAAAATTCGTTTCCGCCTCCTCTGATAGATACGCGAGTTCATAATCGTTAATGCACGATACATGGATTTCTTTGTTTTCCATATATTTATTAATAACTAACTTTCGGTCAGCCAGCTAATACCCTATCTGTATACTAAATTTCATCAAAATCCGTTCAGTAGTTTCGGCGTGATTGACCGACAAACATCCAAATATCCAAACAAAGAAACTTTCACATTTATAATATTAATAGGATTAATAGGTTATGTACAACCTATGACCTACGACTTTGAAAGTTGTATTTATTATTGTGTTAATACATATTATTTTGGTAATGACATGATTTATGTAAATGTCATTATTTATTTCTTTCCCTTGTTCTTCTTTTCATTCAAAAGTGCTTGTAACAAGCCTACTTGAATAAAGATATTTTCATTTCATTTATATGATATAAATGAGCTTCAGCGAATCGATTATAACTATGTTCGGTGGTTACTTAATTGTATATCAATCAATAAGTGGACGTTATTAAAGCTAGTACTTATAATACAGTAATTGTTGTACCGTCAATAACCACAAGAACGCTTATCTAAGCTTATTAACTTTTATTATGATGATCAAATCGGAAATCGGATATTGTATTGACGGAATATTATAATATAACATTGAATTCTTCATTCAACAATTTCGCAACAGTGAATATTGCACGTGTTAATAATTATTACTTAACTATTGTAATTAATAAGTAAAGTTAAAAGATAAATTTTTCTTCCTTTCAAGAAAATTATACGTGAATATGAGAGTATGATAAATATACATAGATATGTTACCTTCTTTTTCTGTTGTGTGTGTGTTCGTTTTCATGTAAATACCTTCTTTTTCTGTTGTGTGTCTGTTCGTTTTCATGTAAATATTTTCATTTATTAGTATTTGTGTTAAAGAATCTATTTATAACACTTTTTAAGGTTATTATAAAAATAAACGCTTTTGCCGTAATTTTCGAAGTAAAAACCCATTTTTTTATCTATCTACGTCATTTAAAGTTCTATTATAGAATAAATGATTTAATATGATAAGATTGAGTAATGGCTTATGAATAAAATGTGTTTAACTAAGAAAAAAATCATAATTCACGTGTGAAAATTTAAATTAATTAAAAACAATTATAAGAGATTGCGCTAAGTATGTCATCACATCCGCGGTGTATTGTCATCTCTTGGTGAAAATCGAGTCGCGACCGGCTCAACCTATATGTTATATTATGTAGTACCTACACATGCAGGAAATAATTCGCAGTAGCGGCTAATGGCCCGCCCGCCGCTGCGTCCGCAAAATGCAGCTGTGCGGTGACAGTACCGATTCCAAGAAATATATCGATTACATATTGCCTCCTCGGCGAGTAAATTATCACACTCGAGTTAAATCTACGAGAGCATAGACTAATTCATCTTTAATTTACGTCTGCGTTTCGGCAAACTATCGCCAGCTGCAAATTGTTCTGCGTAAATGGATCGCACAAACAAAACGTCCTAGCCAACGATTCCGAGGAACTGTAAAATTTTGCGGGAGCCGTTTTTGAATCGTTCGAAAGGAAAACAAACACATGAGTGATGTTTCATCGCACGGTCGAATCGAATTCGGTTTCCTGGAAGCGAACGGAGCGTATGGGTAATACCTTAGAGATTTGAGCGAGTGGATCGATCAGTAAAGAGGTCATACAGCTATTACAAGCATATATTTATCTTGCAATCTTTGATTAAAAGAGGTCATATACCTATTACAAGTATATATTTATCTTGCAATCTTTGATTAAATAAATATAACTTTTACGAATTAACATGACACTTGAGGGCCTACTTGTTCTACCTTCGTTGCATTATTAATTTATCGATATGTGCTTTCCTTTGGGATCGTATTAGCATTTAGAAAATAGACGATTTTTTTTTGAGATATAGAATAGGTAAATTTTACATTCCAAACATTAAAGTTTAAAATCAAGTGGAGAAATTGAACAGACTTGTATAACGTGACGGGCTGTTGACTGTACATTATAGATGTAATTTCAAAGGTTTCACGACAAACCATGGCGTGTTTAGATTTTTGTCTTTATATAAAAGCATATTGTTATTATTAAAAAAAAATCCTTTTATATGTATTTCAATTTTATAATTTGTCCAAAACTAAAAGTTAGAAATTTGAATTCACATTAAATATGTAATAATTAATATTTGTTTAATAATTATATTTGCATAAGTCACACACATGCTTCCGCCGTAACAAGTGTCATATCCACCTACACGAAGAGTGTAAATGTCATCGGATTTTCTCGTTAACGTAACTAAAAATATATATTAGGAAACAACAAGTAACGATTACAGAATGTGATAGATTTGAGAGAAAAGGTTTCCTAGAAGCCGTACTGAACTAACTTATTGAGATGTATTGGGAAGGTCGATTATGAAGGTGTTATTAGGTCATGGTCACTTTATTTTTCAGCGGTTAGTACATCTCTGAGATGTGTGTTTAAATCGATGTGTTGAAATATTTGTGAATGATGAAATAAATTATTAACACCCGTTTTCACTAACCTAGAATAAGACATAGCTTAACTAGGAAACGCCTAATCTTACGAATGGCCTATTAAAATAAGCATTGTTTCTTTTATCTCTTGACACATTTGTGACAAAAGCCACCGCATAACGCATGTAATGAATTCAGACATTGCTTAATGTTGTTAGGTGGTTCTTAGTCAATTGGTGAAATACATTTTCACTTTAGGCGATTCCTAAATATTTTTCAATAGTGATAAGTTTAAGTTATATTATTAATGTAATACAAATATCGAGAAAGCGAAGTACGCCAGCGCGTTCGAGTTGCGATGCGGAAGAAAAGCAATTTTCAGTCCGGTCAAAGGACAAGCGTCTAAAACCTTATTATATCGAGTTCCTCCATAGTTCGGATTTCGGATAGCTCCATAGCTCCATTGTGCTAGACCCGCGCCAGTTTCAAAATACGCTATATTCTATTATATTTAAATTGGTTGCTAACTGCAGACGCAGCGGCTTTCCGAACTATGAAGGAAAGCGATATAATAAGGTTTCAATAGAATAGGGATTCTATTGACAGGCGCCTTGATTAACGAAAAAAATCCGCAAGAATCGCTACAGCCAACAACACTCCTGTGCATCTATTTCAATCAGTTCCAGGAAAAGTCGCTAGAGTGTATTTATGGAATCCATATAACCGAATATCCCAGTGATCTCTAGGAAAATGTGTCGAATATTTTTACTTACCAATTTGTTGGGTGCGAATCGTATCATGTTTTTATAGCGGAAACCATGTTAGAATCAAAAGGATATATTTCAGTCGCACGCAAAACAAAACAAGATACTTTTACCCTTACCAATGAGAAACTAAGAATTATTATTTGATTACACATCGCTTATTGGTAAGGCTGTATGTCTCTTACCATACCAAGGAGGTTGCTTTCGTGCGTCTAGTAAATCTAACAATTTAGTAAATGCATTGACGAAGGTAATCCAGCAACTTTGCATCTGTCTATAGAGTAACAGAAAAAGTACATTTGCAGGCTCAAACTAGTAACATATGACAAAAACTCTACTGCCTCAAAAACTCTAAAAATATCTTTTTTTGAAATAAGCCACATAGATCCGTCAGCTGATCGCATATTCACTGGACTTATTAAAAAAAAAAACTATATTAGGACTAATAGGGTTGTGTCCTACAAGTGAATATACAGTTTTCTGTTATATATTCAGAATATGTGGAGCATTTTAACTTATAAATATTTAACAAAATAAATTATATGACACTAATTTGGAAAATATAATTTTAAAAAACTTGCTAAAATATATATGACATTAAATTACTTACATGAAACAGAACAACTTTTATCATAAAACTATAAACATAAACGCATAAATATCAAAGATATTACATAGATTGCCCAGACGCCGATACGTTTTTCGCTAGTGACTTGAATTTGTAGGGAGCGTTTTGGGCCGACTAGCCGTAGTTCCACAAACATAGCACCATATCTCCGAAATTAATTATCGCAGACATACTGTTACATCTAATTATATCTCAGATATTTTCAGTACCTATTTCATATGCGGTTACTTTCCTCTACTTAGTAAAGAAGTACATAGGAAAACACGAATCAAATCACTGTAATATCGTTTTCCGGCTAAAATGAAGAGGTAAGTAAATATAGTAGTTATTTATTTCCCTTTTTCGTTATATTATATAAGGAAGG